TATTGCATTATACATTTAATTATAGTCATCGTCACATGACCAGCATTTTCGTCTCGTCTCGTCTCGTTTTCGTCACGTGATAAAGGTTCGTTGACGACGATATTTAGTCATAATTTTCGTTGACGAAAGCAACACTACTTCTGAGTCTATTTGGCTCATAACACCTCCTTATCTTTTTTTTTTTTGACAGGGAGAAAAAGGGAATGGTTCAAAATCGAAGATGCCATAGAAGTGTTGCAGTGTCACAAACCAGTACAGGCCACTTACTTCAAGGCCCTGCAGGAAGGCTGTCTGAACAGTAATGGGACGCCCCTGGTGGCCACGATAGGCGGAGACCTGTCGCCCACCTACAGCATTAATCAGAGCTCCGTCTCTGATATCAGATAACTAATACAAAACATAGACACCGAATGCTTCCACCGCTCTTGCCCTTACTTTCATTATTCTATCCTTCTTTTTCTTTAAAAAAAGACACAAAAACAACGGTTTGCCAAGGCTTTTTGAGCACCGAGAAAGTGGCGCAGACATCAAGTGTTGGTTGAATATTCGAAACGATGTTTTGTAAATGTAACACTTCTGCTTTTTCCTGTTTAATCCTCCTTTCATGCAGACTGTTGCATGAAACCCGCGACCCACGTCCTTTTAGCGGCCCAAGTGTGAGATTAAACGAATGCAAGAACTACTTTTTACTGTTGTGATGTACAAATCTACACATGGTGCGTCAGCGTGTGGCTTTCAATATTTTTACACATTTGATTTCCTCTGCGTGCGTAAGTGTGAACGAGTTTTTCATTAGTTCTCTTTCGGCGGTTGCGAGAGGAAACGTTTAGTCTTCTGAATGGTGGAACTGTGAGAAGTTAATAGTTTTGCATGAACACTGGTATTTATTTGTCTTTTGAGTTTGCGTGATGCGATGACTGTTTAACCTGTACTTCGTGTTAAATTGATGCTCTTAACTTACCCTTTTTTGTCTTGCCATCTTGTAAATAACTTATGGGCCTGCAAAAACAGATTTAATTTATACTAGTACCTGATTAGACTGGAGCGCAATTCTACAAGCGCACACTTTTTTTTTTAATCCAGTACATTTTTTCCAACCTGCTGAGGTTTGAAGGACTTAGAATTTAGTATTGCAAACTTTACAATGAATCTTGTGTGTAAATTTGTGCCATTAGCAGCACCAATTCATTGCAACTAAATAGTTCGAACATTATTTCTGCAATTCCGTTTGGTGCTGCTAGTGATGTAGAAACGAAACAGTTCCCCTTTAAGCAGACTGATAGAGTGGTGGTATGATTTGGCAGGTCTGTAATGGTTTTCTGTAGCACTTTTTAAAATCAACAGGAAAACAAAATGGACTCCGTTTACTTTTATATTTTCCTGGTTTCATCAGTGCACCATAGTGTGCAACTGCAATCCCATTCTGGTATGAAACGCCCACTTTTCATGATGCAATCACTTCCAGATGGATTAAAGTCTCATTTCATTTCTTCCTTTTAATACGTTATACATTTTACAGAAGTAAAACGGGTTGCACGTACCATGTTGACTTTAAGAAGTGCCGCGGTAGATCGAGTGGACAGTTAAATCAAGAAGTAGCTTGGAAATCCTCTCCCTAAACTAGAAGATTCACTTCGATTCTCAAAGCAATCTGTTGAAAAACTATGAACGATTATAATGTTACCTAGCAGTTTCAAAAATCTTCACGAACAACATGAAATCAAAATGGACACTTTTTACTTTCTCTGTGTGTTTAATGTATTATCGAGCATGATTCATTTCAGTTCGTGTTGTTTCAGGGGAAAAAATGCCATCAATAATGAGCAGTTGAACTTGGATAACATTTTTCTTATGGAACATACTGAAATATTTCAGAATAGTTCACCCCAAAAAATCTGTCATTATTTACTTATCCTCAAGTTGTTTCAAACCTGTATTAGTTTCTTTCTTCTGTTGAGCACAGAAGACGACATTTAAAAAAATATTGTTAACTAAATTGATGGTAGCCATTGACTTCCATAATATGGGAAAAAAATAGTATTCTAGTACTCTATTTTTGTGTTCAACAGCAGATAGAAACTTATACAGGTTTGGAACGACATGAAGCTAAGTAAATAATGACAGAATTTTCATTTATTTTTTTTTTAAATGGAAATATCTCTTTAAGGAAGTAAAATGGGTTTCATGTTCATTTTAGCTGTTAGCAGATGTTTACATTTCGTTAATTACCATAACGTCTCTCAAATGACACCTAAAGAGATATTTCAGTGGAGATGTTTATATAGCATATTATTTTTTTAAACTAGCTCTAGTCTGCACTAGGACTGTTTTCACATCATGTCACTTTTTATGGATGTTCAGCAGACCCCTGAAATTGTTTCATCTTCCCTTAGTAGATTTGGCTATTAATATTCTTCTGACAATTGCTGAAGGTGTTTTCTGGCCTTCTGTTTTCGTGGACTTTTAGTCCTGCTGATGAGGTATTTGGTTGTTTTAACCTCTCACCCTTTTTAGAAATGACCATATCATCATCTACAACTCATTTAAACATCTTCTCTTTTGAAATGTCAAATATGTCTTGGAAGCCGAACTGTAAAGCGCTTGGCGCAATACTGTGAATCTTGAGCCACTGTAGTTAGCGAGATGTTTTGGTGTCTTTTAATCGCTCTTGTTCCAATTCCAGTGCTTGTCATTATGTATAGATATGGTACACGCTAGGTTGGGCGATTTATTTCCTCGAGACTGAACCGCGTCGTTTTGCTCCTCTGGGAGTTTTAAGTGCATTTATGATGCAAGATCCTTATGAAGTACATTTTGAATTCAAGAGTTAGTCTGACTGCAAAATGAGTAATGATGAACCCAAGATCTAAAACATGAATGAACCTACTTTTATCAGTGATTTATGTTTACATGCCTCTGATTAATATCTGTCAACACTAATTTCATCGATTTTGCAGCTGATTGCAAGTCTTTCTCTTTCACTTTTAGTGTAGCATGTAATAGCTAATCTGGTCTGTTTTCTTGATTGAGATACGTGATGATGGCCATACTAATGTACCCTTCATTTAGCACAGCAGCATATTAAAAAGTTTTGACTTCTGTAGTAAGTGGAAGTGGCTGCGGCGATCATTGCAGTGAATGATCTTCTCTTGAGCAGTCGTTTTAAAGTCCTACAAAACAAGGATGTGAAATCTAAACTGCTGCATTTGAAGTATATCACAGACCATGTGAAATACCCATATCCTTGACGAACATCTCACGGAAAGCACCTTAAATTTGCCCTGCTTGTGACTCTGAATGTAAACTTGGGTAAAATAAGATGGGATGCTGGAACTATGACTGGAATCTCCCAACACTCCGAAACAAAAGCTGTGAGACTTTGGTTCCACAGCTGTACCCTTCACTGGAATATTTAGCTTTTTCGTTTTGGGATTATGAAATCAACCAGTAGAAGAATGTAATATAAATGTGCCAACTAATAAACACCAGTATTTCACCTCAAGGTTTCAGTGACTTTGTCCCACAAGCTAAATTTGTAGTGCTGTAACATGCCAAATATTCTGATTTACGTAATACTTCATGGCTTTCGAGGAAAACTACATGTGCTAGTTTAACATTAAAATGTTGTCAAACTATGTACATTTCAGATTTACAGGTTCCTTCCAGGATGATGGACCAAAAAGGAAGTGGGTAAGAAAATAAAAACATTCTTGGATTTTTTTTAAAAGAAATAGTTCATCCAAAAATGAACATTTGGTGAAAAATTACTCTCCTTCAGGTCATCCAAGTTGAGGATGAGTTTGTTGATGATGAGTTTGTTCCTTCATGAGAACGGATTTGGAAAAATTTAGCAAAATTCCATCACTTGTTCACCAGTGGATCCTCTGCAGTGAATGGGTGCCGTCAGAATGAGAGTCCAAACAGCTGATAAAAGCATCAGGATAATCCACACCACTCCAGTCTATCAATTAACATCTTGTGAAGTGAAAAGCTGCATGTTTGTAAGAAACAAATCCATCATGATATTCTAAACAATTGTTTCTGGCCCAAATAAGAGTCCATAATAAAGCTTCTTCTAGTGAAACAGTCCATGTAAAACTGCTTGATCTGTGCATATTTCTCAGACGAGATGACTTATTTCACTGGAGAAACCAATATTATGGACTCATGTTTAGTCTCATGGATGGATTTGTTTCTTACAAACACACAGCTTTTCACTTCAAAAGACGTTAACTGATGGACTGGAGTGGTGTACCTCCGTGAAGTTGGCCCCCCACCCAACGCAAAACGTCGGCAAAATAGTCTCAATTGTTTGTGCTGTAAAATTTTTAGTTTGTGCTGCTTCGTTTTTTTAGATAGGCTATTCAAATATTATTTAGTGATCATTCTGAGGTCACTCAGCCCCCCACATGCTCCAAATTTACCCCAATAGTCTCGTTTGTTTGTGCTTCGTTTGTACCGGTAGTAGGCCTATTTTTGTTTTTTTACGGTCTTTGTTTAACAATACAGTTGAAGTAATAAGGTAAAATTCAAACGGCAAACCAATTCACATGAAATAGTTGCAGTCACTTAATTGTTAGTAGCCATATTCGTTCAATTAGGCTATATGGAAGAAAAAAAATACTTAGGCCTATTTCATTGTCTTTACAAAACCAAAAAATATATAAATATAAAATATTGATATAGGCCTATTTTCACACTTTAAATGCCTATTTTAGGCCTATTTTAAATGCCATCCTGAAAACCAAATTTGAAATTAGAACCATACACACAAAATGCTGCCCGAAAAAGTAAAATATATTGTTTTTTTTTTTTTTTTTTGATTTTTTGCACCTTTAATAAACATTTGAAAAATGCACAAATTAATATAGAAAATTTTTTATTTCAACAAGTTTTCTTTGGCCAAATTAGAAGTAGGCTAATGCTTCTCTCGCACATTCAGTTTAGAACTAACGCACATCTTGGTGCTAGATCATTGATGGGGAGCAGGGCAATTAATAGTGAATATGACCAAAATAGGGTATTATTTTTTATATGAATAATAAAATCACTATATAGGCGCATTTCAAGTGTTTATGAGGAGTGTGGGAGTATTATCGCGCTTACTGTATGGTATGGAGGTGCCCGCACACAATCCATCGCATTTTTTTTTTTGCCACCTGCGGAAAAGTTTTTTGGATGCGCTTTCTGTCGTCTCATGCAGTCTCTGTGAATGGAGCGCTTCACAACAATGAACCGGCTCAGACAAGAAATAAATCTATAGAAATCTTGAAATGTCTACTATTAAACAACCCAATTCAAATAAAAAACAAATCTTCTCTAATTATGTGGTCCGTATGAAAAGGTGCATTTCTTTATTAGGCACGTCCATTAGCCAACTGTGGAGATGGCCATCAAGCGTCGGCATTTGGCAACTTCATCTTTGCAGCCGACACTGACTGAGAAAGCACAAGTTTAGTAATAAATACAATGTCTTCTTTTTTCCCTACTCGTTCAATCAATACTTTTGCCAGTGCTTTGCGTCAAGCTTTATGCGCGCACTTGAGCATGGAATAGGCTATGCCTAAATGCCTATATATTAAATGATGGTTTAATAGGTTATTATATTAATCAATTTAATATAAACATGCGACTAGTTGACTAAGAAAAAAATCTTTAAAAAAAAAAAGACCGTAGCAAAAACAAAAATACTACCAGCACAAACATTAAATACCACACTGAATGCATTAACAAGTACCTGCAAAACAACATATGAACGAGTCGGACACAGAAGCACTTTTGAACCTTTATTGTACAGATCATGTGGAAAATTACTGTGGCTGTTGTCCTCGGCCACGGCCAAAACCACCTCTCTGAAAACACAAGAGAACGCATGCAAAAGGTGAGCGTCACAATTTCCCTTTCCCAGTAGGATAATTCAAGCTTGCGTTTATGTAAGTGTTTGGAGTCATGCATTTAAACGGTATTTAAACAGTGATACTTACAAACTGGAATTCTGTGGCAGCACCTGCACCAGCCTCAGCCTTCTTGTCTGCACCAGCTGTAGGATGAAGAGTTTTTAGTTTAACACAATGCCACACAGAGGCAAAAGAATACGCTGATGTCGACAGTATGTATTGTGTACATACGCGGAGCTGCAGAACGTCTGTAAGCATCTCTGTCTCCCTCGCCACGGGCCAGACGAGCCGGTCTCTCTCCCTCAAGACCTGAAAAACACAGTGTTACACTTTAATCAAGGTCTTTGAAATGGACTACAGCACATTATGAATGACATTTAGCATGGACAAACAACCATTTATCAGTCAAGTGTCAAATAGGATCAGAATAAGTAGTTGAAACCAGTAGCGGTTTTAGGCACGGGCGAACCGGTCAGCCGCCCGGGGCGGCATTTTTTCATAATACATGTGGGGCGGCACGAGCAGTTAAAAAAAAAATTTAAAAAATCCTCTGCGCCGCTGCCGCGAAGCGGTTTTCTATTGTCTATCATTTCACTGTGTGGGGAATTGGCAAATTGGCGCCCCTGCTTGCTGAGAAGGTGCCGTGCACAGAAGCTGTGTGAGAAGGGGAAAGGGGGGCGGGGCGCGGCGCGGGGGACAGTTCACCTCTGGGTCTCTCCCAAATAGAACGGACAAGGGGGGGGGACGGGGGATCCACTGTATAGAGCAATACTCTAATGGAATTAGTGGGCTAAAGTCAGTCACACCTCGACTTTCTTCCAAATAACGCACATTTCATTCATAATATTATAAATACAGGGATGCAGCTGTATTCATTAACCTGTCACTGAAGTCTGGGTAGGGGAAGTGACCCTAACAAGCCCATGCACCCCATAAACCCATTTTATTTTGAAATTAAAAAAGTCAAGAAAGCATGAGAGAAAATATTGGGGGGGGGGGGGCCGCTGGAAGGGGGTCTCGCCACTGGTTGAAACACTATATTCATTCTCTTCAGAAGCCATAATATAGCCTTCTAGTAGTAATGATTTTACAAATTAGTGCATGAGAGGTATTAACTACTTTCAAGGGTTATTTGTTCATTGTGAACATCATTGCATGGAAAAGCTCTATGGATTTTCTTCAAAATACGTTGCATGGTAAATTAAATTTTTCAGTTTGAAAAGCTTTTTAGGAGGAAGATGAGCCTCTTACCCTTGGGACGGGGTCTGGTCAGGTACCAGTAGAAATGGCGCCAAGCAAACTGCTCTTTGACGTACCCGCATGACTTCAGAGACTGTGAAGGTTCAAGTATTTTAATATATATTCACATGTCATCAACTGGTCCAAGTTTGTGCCATTCATGATGGTCAGAAGGACTCACCTGCATGGCCTTCATCACGTGAAGGTTGGGTACGTTTTTGTCAGCGAGCTCTGGATGTTTCGCGAGATGCACATCTTTTTTGGCCACCATGACGCCCTCTTTGAAGAGGAGCTCATAGATAGCAATGCGGTTCTTCTTGGGCATCAACATCTACAAAAACAGAAATACAATTACTTCAGTTCATATTTATGCTTTTAGCAAACACTTTCACCCAACTTCAAAGATGTCAGGTTTATTAGATTAGATTAAGAGCAGGATAAAGACAAGAAATGCAAGCATGTCGTCATACATTTTATGATATAGAGACCAATTTTCCTAAGAGAATCGTTTTAAAAAACAATTATTAAAGGCAACACTTACAGTACTCTAATTTTACCATACATATCATGGTACTCTTTAACATGTCTTATAGTACCATTTGCATAATATAAATATGATAAACAGTACCATAGTATTTCCTTAAAAGCACACTACTATTACTATAAAATATCACTGAATCAAAGTACAGCCACATACAAGAAAGTACTGCTGTACAGTGATAATACCATGATATTAAATGTACATACTAAAACACACAAATATAGTAACCATGATAGTACCATGGCAAAAAAACATAATTTTTGTCAGCGATGACATTCTGCGCGGCTCTGAAGGCACTTAGCATGCTAAACGTGTTGATGTATACACAATAACGGTTTCACTAGGTTTTTTGCACTTATATAACTTATTTTCAGTAACAACGTCAATAATGCCTTTATTTAAGTTTATTTGATCATTTTGTGTTACAATATTGACTTAATACGAGTCGTGAAGCTCTCTCGCGGGGTAGCGAACGACACAGGCGCATATCCTGCTTTACATATAGTATTTTCCGCCTGCATATTTTCGCAAGACTAAGATATATTCACCATAAGGATTTATTTGAACAGAATTCACTTGAAACAACACATCAAATAGTAAGATGATGAAGATTTAGAACGGATTGTCGGCTCTTGTTTCGGCCTACCTTTACTCTTGCTGAGAGACCGGAGCCGGAAAGAACGCCCTCAGCTCTACTTCCTGTAATAGTTCGCTGCGCTTTATACAGTCTCATGTGAAGCGCGAGGCGCCAGCTAGCGTATTGGAGGTGTTTTTAATTTGTGCTCTGGAGTTGGGTCAACCTCCGCCTATGGAGAGAGAAAAAAGTTTTCAAAATCATCCCCCCCTCTGCTTTTTTCACAAATCGCACCCTTCACATATATACAGTATATATAGCCAACATATATATATATAAAAAATTATTATTATTATTTTTTACAATGTCCTTTTTTGTATATTGTATAGGTTGTATTTTATATATATTTAAACTGTATTTATCTCTATTATGTCTACTGTTAGTGTTGAGTGTTAACTGTATGCACCAAGGGTCTGAGAGTAACGCAATTTCAATTCTCTGTATGTATGTGCTGTACATGTGGCAGAATTGACAATAAAGCAGACTTTGACTTGACTTTGACTTGATATATATATATATATATATTACACTGTAACTATATTATAGATATATAGAGACATAATTAAAATAAAAAGACATATAGGCCTAGCCTATAGAATTTTCATTAGGTCTTTGTCAAATAATTTCTAGAATTCTATAATTTTCTATAGAATTTTCAAAAAGTAATTCTCTGTATATTTTCTCTGTATTAAAAAATCTAATGGATGTTCTTATTCCTCATTCATTTTAATTGCATGGAAAACAGTGACTAGTAAAATTCAGACATTGGCTGTTTTGACTATAAATACTGTCCTGTTGTGACATCAAATACAGTCACAACCACTTATTCAGTAGTCAGTTCTCTGTCCTGCCTTTTGTTTCTGGCTGGACAGAGTTGAATGCTAAAGGAAATGACTTTTTCCCTGCATGGCTGCTTGAGGAATATATTTATATCTCACAATCACCGTCTAGTGACAGAGAAAACCCCCACATCCTTCATACATGAGAAGTAAGCATGCAGTTTAACAATGAAGGTTGAGTGTACACAGTATTAAGGATATATATGTGACCTCTTATTCTTAATTATTGCATTTCATGGATTGTATCTGCAATGAATTCAAATGGGCTACTTTATGGTATTATTCCTAGATGTTTTCTAAACCGGATTCTAGAGTTGCTGGCTCTTTGGTTGTAGACAAACAAGGTGTTTTTATTTCAACCTTTGAAAGTATAGGTCTATATTATGAGAGAAGTCAAATGTATGGTTTTATGTGCTGTTTTGAGGTAAACAGTTATATTTGAAGTCTTTTTAAAGGTTTCTTGAAGTTTCAGTTTTGGCCTGAGATATGGGAACATTTCAAAAGCTATTGCTCAATTCAATTGCAGACTAATCCTCTTCACTGGATGCGTTAACAAGAAATGTGTTGGTTAATATTTCAGCGCTCAGCTCATTTCTCTGGCAGTTTGTGTTTGGCAGCGAACAGTGTTTTTCTGTTTCCCATCTGTGTTGCGAGGCGGTGATGTGTTTAGTGCCTGAGGTTTGTGGACTAATGGGAATGAACCTTACAGGAGCTTTGATTGTTGTTCCACCTGTGCCAACAAATTGAGAAGTTAAATTTGCAACACCTCCATCTGCTTTCATACACAGACCACCTGTGCCGCACTAATTTTATATTTAGGAGCAGATTTGCAAGAAGTTGTTACTACCACTCTTACTTTAGTATAATTGAGATTATTTATATATATATTTAAATGTATTTATTAGAATAAGATTTTGTTTTTATATTTTCTGTTATGATTTTAGTTGTTTTTAAATAAATAATTATTACGTATTTATTTATTACTACAAATATTTAGTCTATTTTTAGTTTTATTTAGTTTATTTAACTTGAACTGAACAAAAATAAAACTAAAAATGTTGCCTTGACAACTGGCTGAATTAAAATAAGTTTTTTAGAATATAAAATTGTTATATTTTATTATATTTTTCATAATTTATTTTCAACTAATGACTTTTTTATCATTTTAGTTTTAGTTAAAAAATAATAACCCTGGGTATTATAAGTGGCAGGTTTAATGCAAAAATGCAAAATAGCTAATTAATATTGTATCAAATATTATGAAGTCACCAAATATTATGAAGTTTTTTTTTTTTTTTTATGCAATATGCACACATTGAAGATCAAAATAAGTAAGCTTTAGCAAAGTTTCACCAATAGGTGGCAAAAATGAACCCTTTGTGAACCCATGTATACCACATACATTTCAGTACCCTAGTATATACCATGGTATTACCATCACTGTACCATGGTATTGCAACTTTTTTTTTTAATATTTAAAAAATCCCCACCCTGCTTTTTTGTTGTTGTTGTTTTTTGTTAATAGACTGAATTAGGAGTTGAATTGAACATAGTCAATTGTAAGCCTTGGACGAAAATTTGGAAAGTGAATGATTCAAATATATTTCACATATTCGTTGATCTTAGTAGGGTGCTTATTTCAGTAAAAGTCATTAATATGTAACGTGGGTCTCTTGGCTGACCATCCCCCATTTGATACACCCGCAGCACAACACTGCCTGTGTTCATCCGATACCTTTGTGTTTTACTGATGTTCGATTCGCGAACGAATCGTTCATTCGAACCGATTCATTTGAACAGTTTCGCAATGCCTTTGTAAACCGCTTCACTGCAGCTAAGACTGTATGGTTACAGCAAATATTTGAGCATTCCGTGTTCAACAAAATGTTTATCGAAATACTTATTTGATTACATGAAACTGTTGAACAGGCTCGGTGAATTTGAGTCAACTCGCTAAAACGAACCAATTCCCTAAACCGAATCAGACAGCTCACCGTTATTGTGTTTGACTAGAGTGGAGGTTCGTGTGGATCACAGAGAGCCTGGATTCTCGTTCATCTGTGTTTGGTATGTCTTAACGCATGATTTTGTTTTTATTTAGCAGCAGAAATGAGGTTGCGTGTCGATATATGCGGACAGACGTCTTGTCTTGCGTTATGTCATTTATTTCTAAACGCTTGCGCAGAACGCTGCGGTTCTTCGCAATGCTGAGTGGTTTTTAGACATGGTGCCATTGAAACAGCTTGGAGTGGCATGCGAAATTAGGAATCTAATTTAAGGCACTTGTTATCCCTGTCCTCTATTCTGAGATCCACAATAGACCGTTTTAGTAAATGCAATCTCTGTTGCTCCCAAAGGAGACTTTACTGTCTTCTTGCATGATAAACTCAAAAGGTCTGCTTTAATAAATCAATAGCAGGTCTCATAGCTGTAAAGAAGATGAATCATTACAACAGTGTGTTATCTGATTAGTAAATGTCTGATGGTTGTCATTTAGTTTGGTCTTACATCGCTGATCCCATCTGTCTCCACCAACAGTAAATACTCATGTGAGTGTGTGTCTGAAGTGAACTGCTGCTTCACAGACACCAGATGTCCTTTTGACATCTTCTGTTCAAGTCAAAGGTGAAATCCTCCCCTCGGAGGTTCTCGAACTGTCCAAGGTCCTGAATCGTCCCTTGGCACCTGAACTCTTTAGCTCTGGGTCAGTTCGTATTTGGTCTGCCAGGGAAAGCTTGTGATTTCTATGCAGTTTTAGGGGAATTTGGCATTTCTTGTACTTTAGATTCTATGTAGTGCTTAGTATTAATCTTAAGTATATATATATATATATTTTGGTTATATCTATTTATTTTTTTCTACATTTTCATCTAATTTGTATGGAAGCTTGTTTCACAGGATAAACAAAAACAAAAAAGGTAATCTCACAATTGAGACTTTTTTGTATCTAAGTTTATTTCTTGCAATTCTGACATTTTTCTATCAATTCTGTCTTTTGCAAGATACATCTGCAAGATATAAACTCAGAATTGTGAGAAATAAAATTGCAGTTCTGAGAAAAATGAAATGCTGTTGGGTTGTTTTGACCCAGCGGTTGGGTTGTTTTGACCCAGCGGTTGGGTTGTTTTGACCCAGCGGTTGGGTTGTTTTGACCCAGCGGTTGGGTTGTTTTGACCCAGCGCTGCATGGGTTATATTTAACCCAGCATTTTTTAGAGTGTGAGGTTATATCTTGCAATACTTACTTTTTTTTCTTAGAATTGCGAGAAAAAGGTCAGAGTTGTGAGATAAAAACGTATTAATTTTTTTATTCCATGCCAGAAACAGACTTCCATACATTTGCTCTGAAGAATATGTAAGAAAACATGTTGCACAAGCCAGCACTGCTGAAAATATTTTTTCCCCCCCAGTCCTTTCACCTGATGAAGTCAAAGCCATAAAGTATACAGTAGCTCTTTAACTGGATTGTGTTGGAGGACTCATTCACCTTGCTGGTTATATTGTTGAAATCTCATTCTGAATCTGTCCTTCAGCCCCTATATAGCTTCAGATGGCAACTAAAACCAAGGAGAGCATGTCCTTAGAGGCTTTTAGCTAAACTCAAGGTACAATACAAGGGCCTTACAGACTGAACGCTTATCTGTGGGATAAAAATCTAAAGATATGCTTCAGTTTAAAACTCTGCTGAAATTCCTTTAGAAAGTCGATTAACATTGCATATTGCCTAATGTATCAGATACTTGTATACTGTTCGGTATGCAGTGAGGAGCACACTATTCCGTTCTGAATGATGTGTCTGTTTGGTTGCATAACCCACACCGAATCATTTGTATTTTATCAGTCTAGGCAAGTTCATGGTCAAACGCCTGTCACTGTGAAGGATGACCCAGAGTTCAGCAGGGCCATGTCATTGCTCACTTTAGGGATGATTGGGGTCAAGGGTCAGGCTCAAAGGCACAGATTTTATCACCCGGGTACCTACTTTCACCCTTTACACCCCACGTGGGATTCCAACCTGTGACCTGGTTACAGTGCTAATTCCTGTTACTCTGATTTGTCATTTTTTGCTAATTTTATTTGCTACCTAGTATTGGTATAATCAGTTTGGTATTGTATTTCTAAAGTTAATTCAGTACTTTATGAAATCCATCTAATATTTTATTTAAAAAAAAAGAATATAATAATGAAAATAATATAAAATAGTTTTATTTAGAACATTAATTTAGTATTTTATTAATTCAATTAATTTCACATTTTATTTATTACATTAATTTT